AATCATCTGAAGCACCAAATTGCTTAACTTTTCTTACCAAACCGAAGAAGACTTTGAAGCGAATCTGACAACTTTGTTATGCCCTAACCACATAGGGAAGAGGCACAACCCGAAATAATTACTTTTTAGTGATTGTTACATTTATGCTAATTTGTCACTATATAGGGGACTCATTGAGTGGTAGGATTCTATTTGATTCTAATCTCATCTCTTAATGAGCTAGTAGTAGCAGTTTGTTCTTTTTTATTGATATATTTTGTTTAGTGATTTTATTATTGTTATGGGAAGTCTGTATTAGTGTACTGTAGTACGACTTGAGCTAAGAGAGGCTTCAACATAGAAAAGAAATAGGGAAGAAGAAAGTAAACCTTACCTGTAACTATTAGTAAGATACTAGATGCAATCCATTTTTTGGTTATGGTTATTTATAATATTTGATGTATCAACTTGAACTCAAGGACCAGAGTTACTAGATGAGGTATGAAATAGTATTCCCCATCATGTTGCCACAAAGAATTTTTTTTTTTTTGATAATGTTAACCTTTAATTAAGAGAAAGGAGAGTACAAAAGCCTCGACGAACCACAAAAAAGGTGCTCAAGGAGTGAAGAAAGGAAAGAAAAGTGGGAGGAAGGCCTCTTTTGAGAAGTTACTGTTAAGGGACAGTAACCAAAGAAAAGAGGCTGAACCACCATACAAAAAGCATAGCAAAAGGCAGAAGACCAAAAAAGTAAAAGCTTCTAGTTCCAGCCATCCCCGCTGTTTCTTTTGCAAGGGTATCAGCTTCCTGGTTTCCTTCCCTCCAGGTATGCGTCCAAATGACCAATGTATTCCTGCAGAAGTAATAAACCTGATCAAATGATGGAGCCAAAACCTAAGGGGGGCTAGTTGCAGGATTTTGAGCCAAGGTAATGGTGTTCCTGGAGTCACCCTCTACGATGAGGGAGGGCAATTTGAGATGTTGGATGAGTTTTAAGCCTTCTAGAAGCGCTGTCACCTCAGCCTCCATCGAGTCGTTATGGCCAATGTGTTTGGAAACTGAAGTCACAGTAGAGCTAAGGTGGTCTCTAAAGATGGCTCCAATTCCTGATGGCCCTGGATTGCCGAGAGAGCATCCATCGAAGTTGAGCTTAAGCATGCCCTGAGGGGGTGGCTTCCAAAATGAAGACCTGGAAGGGTGAGAGCAATGATGTCGAAGGACATTATACCAATCTTGATGAAAGACCGAGGCCGGTTTCCTTTGAATCGAGGGTGATTGGTAGCCCAGAAGATGACGGTAGATTTGAGCTTGGTAAAGGGTTTGGACTAGGGAGAATACTCCCCACTGAAAATCCTGTGGTTGTGCTCAATCCATAAAGCCCACAGGGATGCAACCACCGCTGATTTCTAGAGAATAATCCCTGATTTGGGCCAAGGAAAAGACATGATAGAGGAGAGAATCGAAGTCACCTCTGCATGCAGCACCCATTCAACCTTGAACAACTTGAGGACTGCTCCCCAAAGATTTAAGGCGTACGGGCAGTCTAAGAAGAGGTGATTATTTGTTCCTCCTCAGCTAGACACAACACGTAACGATTGGGGAGCTGGATTCCACGTCGTTGCAGATGATCGACTGTCAGAACTCGCTTGGAGAGAGCCAACCACAAAAAAATATTAATTTTTGGGGGAGTTAAGGAGTCCCAGGCTTGGGCCGCTATAGCTGTGGGTGCTAGGGGAAAAGTGGGAAGTAGCGACAGGCTGCGATAGAAGGAGGACACCTTGAAAAAGCCAATCGGTGAGGGAGTCCAGATGATGCGGTTGTGGCCAACAGGAGCTAAGAAACAGGCTTGTAGTTCTGTCGATATAGAGGCAATCTCTAGATCATTTAGAGCTCTCCTGAAAACTGGGTTCCAAGAGCGAGAGGTTCCGGCCAGTAGCATTTCTTGGGCTACTGTTGCGCCTTGATCTCGAGCAAGATAGTAGAGATCAGGGTGTTTGTCCTTGAGAGGGGTGTGGCCCATCCAAAGATCATGCCAAAAGAGGATTCGGTTCCCCGATCTAGGATGGAATCTGATTCAGGATTTAAAGAGCTGAAAAGCATAGCAGATAGACCTCCAGATACCTGAAGACCTGTAGTTTGTTATGAATTTAGGGAGCCAAGGAGAGTCGTGGAGGCGATATTTGGTTTTGAGAATGTCAATCCATAGGTGGTTTCTTAGGGTCACCAGTCGCCAACACCATTTGCCGAGGAGGGCTAAATTCTAGGTTCTCAGTTTTTTGATCCCCAGACCTCCCCTTTTCTTAGATTGGCATAGCTTATCCTAAGCTCTCAAGTGGAATTTATTGTCAAAGTCTTCTCTTGACCAAAAGAACCTCCTCATCAATTGTTCAATCCTAGTGATAACAACAACTGGCATATGGAAAATAGAGATCTGGTAGACTGGTATGTTGGGTAATGTTGCTTTGATTTGAGTGAGCCTACCCCAAGGGGACAGAAACTGCCCTTTCCATCCGGCTAATCTATGGTCCACTTTGTCGACAATGTGGGACCATGAACTTTTGCTAGGTTTGCCGAGGCAAAGAGGAAGTCCTAAATATTTGGAGGGTAATGTTGTTACTCCACAACCCCAACTTTCGGCATAGGATCTTAGGGTGGTAGAATCAACGTTAATCCCCATGATGGTGGTTTTGTCGTAATTGACTTTGAAGCCAGTTGCGAATTTGATGCATCCGAGTAAGAGGAAATGGTTGTGAATTTCACCAGCGGATGCATTACAGAAGACCAGGGTGTCGTCTGCGTATTGTAGATGAGAGACAAGGGGGGGCCCAAGTCCTATAGTGAAATCGTGCAACAGTTCAGCTGAGTGCATTCTATGGATGGACTGGCTGAAAACCTTTGCCGAAATGTTAAAGAGGAAGGGGGATAGGGGCCCCCCTTGTCTGAGGCCTCTGGTGGAAGGGAAGTGACCTTTGGGAGTGCCATTGATGAGGATAGAAAAGTGAGGGTGAGAGTAACAAGCTCTGATCCAAGTTCTCCACCTCAAATTGAAACCCATCCTGGTTTGGGTTTCTTCTAGAATTTCCCAGTCGACATGATTGTAAGCTTTCTCCCAATCTAGTTTTACGCTAATACCAGGGTCTTTGTTCAGGTGTTTGGAGTGGATACATTCGTGAGCCATGAGGGCTCCAATACAGAATTTGTCGCTCTTTGATGAAAGCACTTTGATTGGGGGAGATAACTAGGTGCAAGACCTCTTTGAGGTGAGAGGCTAGGACCTTAGCAAGGACTTTGTAGGTGGATTTAACCAGGCTTATAGGTCTGAAGTCTTTAAGCTGATTAGCACCTTCGATTTTGGGTACCAGAGTTATGAAGGTAGCATTCATGGCTCGATGGATTACCGCCCTGGCATGGAATTCGTCAAACAAGTTGAGGGAGTCAACTGGAAAGGAATCCCAGGAAAGCTTGAACGAGGCCAAGAGAAAGCCATCTGGTCCAGGGGCGCTTTCTGAGTCCAAATATGAGATAGCGGCTAAAATTTCGGATTCAGAAAAAAGTATTTCCAACCAAGAGGCTTTCTTTGGTGGTAAAACTAGGAAATCTAGGTCTCCCATTTGGGTTCGGGGGATTGGGGGAGCAGAGAAAAGGGCTTGGAAATAGCCAAGGATGGCTTGCTCTATATCTGGACCTCGATCTAGTAGGTTTCCTTCCACCAACAGCTGGTAGATTGAGTTAACTCTGCGCCTACAATTGGCCGTTCTGTGAAAGAAGCCTGTGTTGATATCCCCAGTTTTCAGCCACTTTATTCTGGATCTCTGGTACCAGAAAATTTCCTCTTTCTTGAGGATGGATTGATATTGGAGCTTGTGGTGATCCCTTTGTTGGATTTCAAGATCCAAGAGTCCTAGTTTCTTCCAGATTGTCTAAGGCCTGGATGGTCTGCAAGGTGGAAGCTTTCTGGGGTCCGAGGAAGCCCGGAAGGTTCCGACTACAAAGTTTGAGATGGCCCTTAAGTAACTGAAGTCTGCGCTGCAGTTTAAAGCCTGCCCACCCAACTACAGTGTTATGTCCTGCCACCAAACAGGGAATAGGTTATAAGAAGAGAAGGTTCTTCCAGCCAGGCTAATTCAAACCTAAAAGGTTTCGGGCCACTAAGGGAAGGGTTAGTGTTAAGGAGGATAGGGCAGTGGTTTGATGTGGGTTTGGGTAAGGCCAAGGAGTGAGTTCCAGGAAAGGTGGTATCCCAATCTATAGAAATCAGGAAGCGACCCAATCTAGAAAGAGACGGATTGGACGCATGGTTGCCACAGAGATATTCGTTAAGCATTAATTCAAGAACTGCCTCACAACACTTCACCATGGCTCTATGGCTTTGATACTTGTAGAGAATGCTAAATATGAATTGAACACGCAATATGGTCTTTGAAACCACAAATTTTGCTTTGACAGCATATATGGAAAACCTTGTTATGCTGGTTGATATAATGCCAGTTGCTCAATGATGTTTTCTCCAAAGTCTAAACTTTACCTGCACTAGCCAATTCTGTGTGTGACTTAAACTTCTAAATTGATGTATCACTAGGATCCAGTGTTTCAACTTACTTTCCATCAAGCAAGCAGCTCAAACCTATAGGTTAAGGTGTCTGTCACCAGTAAAAGAAGATTGTTTTCTTTTACTTGTTATACTTTGGGCTCCAAACAAATAAGTTGCAACAGCATCGAATACAAGTCTAGTACCCCCCCCCCCTCCCAACACACACACACACGCACACTTGCACTTGCATGCAAGCATACAGGCTTGTTTTCTTTGTGTGTGCTTGTGAACCTTTTTCACAGATTGGAGACAAACACAATGCTTATGTTTTTTTCGAATGCTTGTGAACCTTTTTTTACAGATATAGGGTGTACAGGAGTGATTGTCTTTTTTTTGTATTTACTAAACTTTAGACCTTAGAATGCACTCACTCTTTCCTATCCATATAAAGTAAGGCAATTTCTCACTCTAAAACCACTTCCTGCTGCAGGACCTGTACAGGACCATGCTGAGGAACAGCACATTCGAAGACGACCCTGTCTCATCCACACGTGCCAACTTCATTGCAGGGGCTGCAGCTGGCTGCACTACCCTCATCATCATCTACCCCCTTGACATTGCCCACACTCGCCTTGCTGCCGATATTGGTAAACAGGAAGCCCGGCAATTTAAGGGCGTTTGCCACTTTCTAAGGAGCATCTACAAAACTGATGGTGTCAAGGGGATATATCGTGGACTCCCAGCCTCTCTTCATGGTATGATAGTCCATAGAGGACTTTATTTTGGGGGCTTTGACACTGCAAAAGAGATTCTTGGAGGAGGGTTGCCTTTTTGGAAGAGGTGGATAGTGGCACAAGGGGTAACAACATCAGCAGGATTGATTTCTTACCCGTTGGACACAGTGAGAAGACGTATGATGATGCAATCAGGGGTTGAGAGACCGACTTATCAGAGTACGCTAGATTGTTGGTCCAAGATTTATAGGTTAGAGGGTGTCAAGTATTTTTATAGGGGGGCACTCTCAAACATGTTCAGGAGTTCAGGTGCTGCATTGATATTAGTATTGTATGATGAGATCAAGCACTTCATGAATTGGGGGAGCTTGTAAAAGCATAGTGATCATTCTATTCATTTCTCTGAGCAAGGTTTTTGCAACCCTGTTTTTTTTAGGGTGGTGGGGGCATGGGGTAGGGGAATTGAGAGTGCAAGTTGCTTCTTGTCTGTTTCTGCTGCCGTTGATGTATGATAGATATGAGAGGTTTCCGGTTACTGTTTTTTCAAAATTCATTGGGAAAATGGAGTTTTGTTTGTGCTGATGAGCATGTCAAAATTGTAAGCATTGTGCAAGGAGAAATCATCTTCAAATTTTTTAGTTGAGACATTGTTCATTTTTATCATTCTAAGCAGGTTTCAAGCAGAGCTTAGAAAATCCATCTTGGCCCGATTTGCCTGGTCCTATGCCAACTTGATTGAACTCAGCAAAAGTTGGACAATCCGTAAAAATCTGATATTCTATAAATTTGTTTGAAACTTGAGCATTGTTGCTAAAATGCCTTTTTTTTTAACTTTAACTAAAAGTTCCATTTATGAATTAAAAATTGTACAAGGGCAGGCTGTTTATTTAGCTAACAAGGTGAAAAATGGTCAATACTAGACACTAGCACAGAAGAGAAAATAAAGTCTTATTGTCAGGAAGGAAGAAGAATGGGAAGGATTAGAAGAATAAAGGAGACAGGAGGACCGGAAGAGAGAGGTAGGTAATATTAAGATAGGAAGGGGAAGAAGAAGAGAAGGTGAAGAACTAGAATAAGATGTGAAAAAACGGAACGGGAAGAGAGAGAATAGGTAACATGAAGAATAGGAAGAAGAAAAGTGAAGAAAAAGAAGAATAAGATGAAGAGAACAAGGCCATAAGGAGAAGAAATGGAGCAAGAAGGGATGAGAGCTCCATCACAGATGAAATCTAAGGACGGCTACAAACTGGTCTAGCCTGGATGAACAGCCCCAATTGTGTTGAGAAGAACCCCACTTTTGGCTAGATCGTGGGCCTCCTGATTTCTCTCTCTATTTATGTGTTGGAATTTGACCTCTCGATCCCTGCAATAACAATGGCAATGAATTTCCACCAGAACTTGTTTCCACTTTCATGGAATAACAAAGTGGCCGTTGCACCAATTTATCACATTGGTTGAATCTCCTAATATCACTTTGTATTGTCCAAGCTCCAAAAGCTGCATTTCCTGTTTTAGTGCCAACAACTTGCATCATTTAAAGTACAATGATGGCATGGCCCTGCAAGAATTGTTGTTCTCATCTAGAATGAAACCCTCAATACCAGCGGGGCCTCTATTTCCCATAGAGCGCATGTCACAATTGAGTTTAATGTAGGTTTGTGGCCGGGCGTTATGGTTAAGGAGGCTCTATAGTTTTCCTCCTCCAAAAGCAGCAACCTGACTTAGGTTAACCATCAGATCAGTCTTTGAGAAGCCACCAAACTCGTTCCAAGCTGGAGCCCAGTCCGGTATTATGGACTGTATTCTAAATTTTCCAGCTTCCCTATCATTCACCGGCCCCTGAAAACCCGTACGTTCCTTTCTCTTTCCATATGTTCCATCTTGTAGCAGCCGAGCATATCCTCCAGAGTAAAATTCCTCTCTTGTGCAGTGGTGGTGAGCACCACTGCTCTGACGGTTTATTGATCCAGACACCAACCAATTAAGGTTTGAGGCCCCAGGTCCTCATTGCATAAGCAGAGGGGCAATGTAAAAGAAGATACCCCTGTTTTTTCATGTTCCTTACACAGTGGACAAATGCTTGTTGATATCATGCCTCATCTCAATTGTCAACAACTTATTTCTTGTAGCAAGCCAGGTGAAGATTTGTGATCTGTGCGGCACCGGTAGATCTCATGCCTTGTTTGTTGTCTTAATTTTTGGAATGTATCTATCCAAGTCTAGTTGCACATATAGAGAGGTTGGTAAGAACTCACCAGAGGAGGACAGTTTCCCAAACAAAAGTGATCATTCCTGTTTGAACCAAAAACAAAAGAACTTGACATGGTCACCGAAATTGAGTCGCAATCACCTTGCTGACCCTTCTTTGTCTGAGACTGATATTCCAATTGGAATTTCTCCACCACCAATGTGAAAAGGATCCCCCTGGCAAACACCCCTAAAACCTTAAAAAGGAATTATTTGTTTTGCCATCGACTAGGATTGAGTATTATGCTGATGAAATCCACTTCTTGATCCAAGTTCGACATCTCTCTGAATCCCATGAGCCTCCCGAAATTAAATAGGCATCCAGAATCCAAATTGTAATCATTCCCGGTCTTCCATCTCTAAGCCTTGAATGTATGCATTCTTCTTATTGAAATGTTGACTATTTCCATTGATACCCGCCCAGGTCACAATGTCGCCTCTATGGTCTGGTTAGATTTGGCCTTTGTATATCATGCCGAGATGGCAAGTATTTCTTAGCCGTACAATCTAAATGAAGCTTGGGATAGCACTAGGCCAAATGTCAAAAAAAATTGATGTTTTCACAACAAAAATGCTTTAACTCTCAACCATATGATCTTTGATCGGACGATTGAGACTGCATACAAATATTCTATTTTATTCTTTTTTATGCGAATATAGTTAATTAAATTTTGGGCATCAATGCTTCTCACATTGCACCAGTAAAAATAAAAAGGATTATCAGGTAGCCATCATTATTAGAAAATGGATATGGTTTTTATGCGGCCAGCCCGCATATTGTAGAAATGCGGTCTTGGTAATAAATATATGTTTTAAAATATAATTTGATCTTAATTTTTAGAGAATATATAATGTTTAACATTGAGATCATGAATATGAAAAAATAATAATACTTTGAAAATTAGAAATAATAATTATGTTAAAAAACATTTGGACCGTTAGTTACATTTGTTTTCAGATGGACCACCTATTTGCATCCATCTTTAAGAGATTATAGAAATGCGGTTCGGCCCGCATGAAACAATTTTCCTTAGAAAATATTGATGAACAATTGTTTCATGCGGGCTGGACCGTATTTCTATAATATGCGGTCCAAAGGTATAAAGCATCTTAAAGATGGATGCAAATAGTGATCCATCTAAAAACACCTGTAACTAACGGTTCAAATGTTTTCTTAATATAATTATTATTTCTAGTTTTTAATTATTATTATTATTTTTTTCCATATCCATTATCTCCATGTTAAAGATTTATATTCTATAAAAATTAAGGTCAAATTATATTTTAAAAATATATTTATTGCCAAGCCCGCATTTCTACAATATGTGTGCTGGCCGCATGCTAATCGCGTCTTTTTTTAGTAATGAATAACAGCGATTTTGTGATTGGGTTTTCCGAGTTAGCTGACTCATCTATTTACATGCGCCCCCCATTCAAAATACAGCTTGGAGATCGATCATGGGATCGAAAGTTTCCGAGGTCTATGATATAGACCATGGTGATCATGAATCTGAAAAAAAAAAAAAAGAATAATGAAATTTAGAATATTAACTTCTCAAAAAATTTGCACCATACGATTTATCTTTTTATGCAAGCACTGTTTTTTTAGCAAATGGACTCCAACGGATGTTTGAATGTGCTGGAGAATATAACAACTGTCGCCTGATACATCATAAACTTAGATTAATATTCGCCTCTCCCATTTCTTTCTCTATCTAAAGACCTAATTTTTTAAGCTTTCTTTCACGTTCTCTTGAAAAATCACAACCCATTACTCCTTTCTCTCACATTCTCCCTCTTAACACCCAACCAATCTTCTTCTCCGTTTTCATATTTTCTTTCTATAAATTTATATAATGGCATCTTTTCTTTTTCTCTCTAAAACTAAAAATTACAGAAGAAAAAGAGAGAAAGCATAAAGGAAAAAAGAAATCAAAGAAAAAAGTCACATTCTTGGGTTTCTAAAGGTATGTTAGAATTTTTTCTTGTTCTTTGGTTTATCTCTCTTATTCATCCTTAGATTTTAGAAAAAAAAAACGAGAGGATGTAAAAATGGATTTAAGAGAGAATGTGAGAGAAGGGGAGAATGGGATGGGTTTTTAGAGAGAACATGGGAGAGGAAAGAATGGATTTTAGATAGAAAGGACAAGAATATTTGGGTTTTCAAAATGAACAGGAGAGCAAGGAAGAAAGAGACAATAAAAGAAAGAAAAATATATTGCTAGATCATTTATCTTTGGTATTAGGTGGTTACAATTAATCTTGATCATTAGATGTAAAATTGGAATTTTATTGACCAACCTCAAACTTCAAAAGATATTTTTTTTAACTTTGTGACAAACTCAAACTATCTAAGTTCATATCAAATGGTTAAGTAATTGTGACATCTATGTATCAAATGTAAATGATCTCATTGTATAAAATCCCATAAAAGAATACTTTACGATTTTGTTTTTAAAGAGAGGCAAATCAATCCATTTATTTTGATGTTTGGAAATCCTCTGATTGATCACCATGGTATTAAGATATATGGATATCAAAAAAGAAAATTCTAGTCCCAAAAATAGTACGTCTTCTATAGGGAAAAGTTTATACAAGGTCGCAACCTTAAAATGTAGAATCCCAGATGCACCTCAAAAATTTATTAAAAATGTTATTTTAATATTGAAAAACCATCTAATTGATCATCTCAACAACAAGATGCATGAATATGAGAAAAAAAAGAAGTTTTTGAGTACCAAAAATAGTGCATCTTGCAACACATTATCTAAACCGTCCATTTTCAAAATTTCTTATATTTATAGATCTACTTGATTTTAATCATTTTTGAAATTTAAAATTTTCTAATTAGATATAAAAATAGATTTTAAGACAATCCTAAGAATTTTTTACAACAAAATTTCATGTTATGACAAAATTTGAAGGTTCACCTTAATTGGATTGTTCAAGGTTGCAACCTTATAAAAATCGCACCCACTAACATATTATCAATCTGGACTGTCCAATTTCACTACACCCACTAACATATTATCAATCTAAAATGTCCAATTTCAAGATTTTCATGTGTTTATAGATCTACAATCAAAGTAAAGCACACCTTTAAATAATATCGAAAGATATCATTTGAGAGCCAAAAATCTTTATCAAAGTAAAGCACACCTTTAAATAATATCGAAAGATATCATTTGAGAGCCAAAAATCTTTATGATGGCCACAAAATTTATTTTCATCTCTAATTAAAAAAAAATTAAAAATTAAAAAATAATGTAGATCAAACATATCTATGAACACTTGAAAATCTTAAAAATTCACAACCTAGATAATACATTACAATATGTACTATTTCCAAGACTTGAAATCCATTTTTCTTAATGTTCATTATCCCAAAGTTGAGATGAACGGATTTGAGAATTTTTTAGCCTTGAAAAAACTTTTTCTAGTGATATTTTGAGTTGCCCATTAGTTTGATTGTTTAGGGCCTCAACCTTAAATAAAAATTTTCCTATACAACAAGCTCAATGTTAAATATATTAGGATAAACTATGTTCACACTAAAAACGTTGCCAAAATTACAATCTAGTCCATATTTTCTGATATTTTACGTAAAGAGGTCCTCTTCCCTTTCTCTTTTTCTTCCAATTTTGCCCTATCTGATGTTATAAACATGAGATCAATTTTCTATTTTATTACATTTTTTTTTTTCTGTAGTTTTTAAGGCAATTCAATACCCCAGAGATGTCAAACCATCCCATTTCATTTCTGAAGTGGTCCAATACTCACCCTTGAAATAGGCTGGTGCGTATCTTTGCAATTTGACTGCCCTAGAAACAACAAAAATATAAAAAGTAAAATAAAATAAAAAACACGTGAAAATATAAAAAAGCGAACGTCATCAGAAGATGTAGACCAAATCGTCATTACAGTAAAGATTTCCAGTAACGCACTTTTTCCAATATATTAGGGCAGGCCAGACTCAAATATGGAGTGCATGGGAATATCGAACAAGGGAGAAATAATAAATTATGCTTAAATACTCGTAAAAGGTCTTATGGTGTCTCAAACTGCAAGCCGTCTTCCTAATGAATAAACAACTGAGTGAGTGAGTGAGAGAGAGAGAGAGAGAGAGAGGGTTTAAACCCAAACTCCTGCCATGGCAACAAAAAGCTCCAAGCTTCTCTTCTAAATGGGCTGTGATGGAAGAGAGCCCACAATAAATCATGATGACCCTGGGATCACCAAATTCTATGTATAGCCTGCTGCAACATGATGTTGTACACTATATTCCCCCATTTGCTACTGCTGCTTACATTCAGGGGGCCGTTCCCCCTGCTGACCTTCGCCAACTACGCCGCCAGCGATCTTCTGAGAATCACATAAATAGACAGCGTCATAAGAAATAAATTACTCAAAGATAACCAAGTCATATGCCAACCTTCAAAACCCAACTCAATAATCACTAGCAGAAAATGCTGAGCAAAATCACGCAAGCAAAGATTTCCTCACCTTATGTCCTGCTGCTACTGGCTGTGGGAGACAAAGACATGGACCAAAGAAATTAAAATATTTAGACAAGGCAAAAACACATGGGGAATAAATTACAATTAGAACCCGTTATTTATGGGGCAATTCAGTGGTAGGAATCGAATTTGGGTCCTAGTGGTGCAACCATCAACACCTTAACCAATAGAGCCCAAGCCCGACTTGTGAAAATACAATAACAGGGGCATCAGAGGTACATACACTACATAATCAAATGGACCAAGGACAACAAAGTCCTCCATTGAGGTCACGACTGTCCACGGAAATGAAGGACAGTGATGGAGAGAGGTACCCAGGATTGTGATCATCTCCTGCTCTGGTGTGTCCCACTCTCCATCACCATCAATAATGTCACAGGGTGGTGTTGACACTGGACAATGGCTATCCATGGTCAATCTGACTATACTACACCCTAGGTACTATACCTTCTTCCTGCTCTTGCCTCTTTCTTCTTCCTCATCATCCTCATCGTCTTCATCATCTTCGTCCTCTTCTTCCTCCTCTTCATCATCATCTCCATCTTCATCACCATCTTCATCATCCTCCTCATCCATGTCTTCAAATTCATCACCCTGCACAGCTTCCCCTGTGAACCAAGAGACAGCATGTGGGATGATCTTGTCTCGGATGGTTGAGCTGTACAAAGCATCACCATTTCATCACTTTTCCAAGTAGAAGAGATTCTTATGTTTTATTTCCTTAAAATTCTGAGAGAGAGTTACAAAGTCCAATGGTTCATGGAAAATCAGAGTCAATTATCACCATCCAATGGAATTGAGTAATGGAAATTTGGTAGGTTACACATTGTTCGCATCACTCCACAATTCATTTGATGGCAATGACATGACATCAATGGTTTTCTATAATCCAATGGAATATAGCAGACATTTAACAAGTTATATGGATTTGTGTTTCTCCAATGATATTGAAGGCAAAGTCACATGCCCAATGTCATAATCCTGCTCCATCAGATTCTGAAGCTGCTCAGCCTGTAGAAATAAAAGAAACATAACAAAGATCAAATGTAAAGAGGGTTGAAGTTGATTGTTTATTGACTAATTAAATCATGGGCAGCATTAACTTACAGTCTCTTCGTCTATATCCTCATCATCCTCGGGGACTTGGGGAGGGCTAAAGAAGTTGAAGAAGCTCTCACAGTCTTCGGTTTTAGTGATGGGCTTTGCATTCTTTGATCCCTTCTTTGGCTTCTTCTTCAGAACCTTCTGTGTCAGACTCTTTCCCGGATACCATTCAATATCAGTCCTGAAACAAACAAAGCAACATCCATGCATTTTCTAGTAAGAACTTCTCACTTAATACTGTTGAGAGGTTCAAAAAGCACAAAATGACATTCAATCTACATCTCATACAGTCATACCCTATTGCTCGTTCTAAGATGGGCTCATCATCATCAATCATGTGATACGTTTTCGTCAAGACTGAATTCTTGAAGTAGGGGTTTGGGTCGAAGAAGAATTCAAGCTTGAAACCCTTAGGGTTATCTATCCTGCACCACTTTATGTCCCTGAGATACTTGAGAGCCTCCTCATCTCGCTCATATATCTGTTTGCAAAAGTGTTACCCAACTTATAATGAAGAAAAAAAGAGAATCTCAACTCACATGGTACATTCAAAGTCTTACCTCCCCAGAAAGCACTTCATTGGTTTTCATAGCAGTCAGCCAGAAATCGGGAACCCCTTTCTCTATTTGAAACCAGAAATGCTAAAATTAAGCACTGCTAAGATCGCAATTGGAGCAGATATAGATGTCCCAAGTCATCAATTACCTTCGTTATTATCTGTATCATCTCTTGGGGTTTTCTCTGATGCTTCTTCATTCTCAACACTATCAACTTCAACAATGCCATTCACGATTTCATACCGCTGTTGAAGTTCAAAAGGGAATTAGAATGAACTTTACCGAACTGAAAATACTTAAAGAGTTAACTATAACGAAACTGATTCAGATTGGTGAAAGGTGATTGAATACCTTCGTATATAGTGGATCATACAGCTTCTGGTACTTGGCTTCAAGTGCTGCCCTTTCTTCGAAAAATTTTGCTTCAAGCTCATCATGTTGGCTCTACAGATGCCAAAACACAAGGTTCAGCTTTCGAGCAATCATTTCACAGAAGCATGATACTTCAATAAAGGATTAGACACTAAAATGCCGTTTGGTCTTAATTATTGTTTTTCCAATTAGAACTAATAGTCCTTATTTTGTAAAATATTGAGAAGTTTCCACTCGGAAAAACGCAAGGCCTGAAATGAACCCAAATATTTCCTTCTCTTTCTAATGACCATAACCTTTTTCATTATTTTTCTTTTGATTTCACGTATTGTTCCATTTGCTTCTCCCTCTAAAGCGGCCAAATAGTTTGTATTCAAGCACGGAGCTAAACAGGGCATCCACTTTTTTGGCCCTCTTTGGCTAACAGGATTCTGCAAAACAATACCAGCCACCACATGTTCTTCCTTTTCCTGGGTACGTCAGCTAGGATTTGGACCTTGGACATGGTGATCCAGCTTGCAGTCCCAACAACTAAGCAGAAGGAAAAAGGATGCCATTTAGGCAGCTTTACTGCTCTAATCTAACAGAAGAGGGTGGTTTAATTGGGGAAAATCTTCTCATTTTTTAAAAGAGTTGTAAACCTGTAAAACCCGAACCCAACCTACATGGTTGCATTTTTTAAGCATTTATTATTGGATGAAATTTCTATAAGGCCTAGGCTTTATGATAAAGCCTCACCTCAAATCCTCATCCGGAAAGCAGTTTCAGCAATGAAAATCTCCATGATGGCTCTAAGATCAATTTCCAACACCGACAATAAAATTTGAAAATATAAAAATGGTACAAATCTTGCCGATCTACAAACACTTATTTTTATGGCGAAAATGGAAGGTCTCGACAATTTGTTACAATATACACTAGTTTAAGAGCTTGAATCCTACTTTTTTTCACAAGCATAATGTTCAAGCCGAGAAGATCAATGTAAAGGGTTTCATTGATTGAATTGCAATTTTTGATGAGTTATGAGGTGAGGCTTTACTTATTTTGATAGGGCGGCAGCCCTATCATACCATTTTCCTTTATTATTTCTATAAAACAAGTACATTTCAAGCAACTTCTGCTATTACTTGGGAATAAAGTTATCAAATCTATTAGGTATAGAATCATTATCATGTTAAAGGATATGCAATGTTGGGTAACGGGGTTTTTTGCCCTTTTGTGAGACCTGAGAATGTCAGAGAATCAGAACAAGGTATTGATCAAGTTTGACATCAGTCACATAATATATGTACATTGATGCCTAATCAATCCATGCCACGAACTCATACTTCTTTCAACTATTGGCAAACACCATGGCAGCTGCCAATTTGAATGATAAGATGTCCTCGGTTATAATTTTGGGAGGATGCATTTGGCATAAACATAACCGTGATCAGTGGGTTCTAGGAATCGTTTCAACAGTCATGGACACATTCCTTGACAGATGAATGTATAGGATGCTCACAATATCGCATGCTCGTGATTATTTTGTTTGCTGCCCGAAACAATATATATGTTTTTGTTAAGTACCAAACTGCAAATGGAATAACTAAGGACCTGTTTGATGACTTGGAAATGTAGTTTTAAGAGGAATCTATGGGAAACTAGAATCCTTGGAAAATGGCCCAAAAGACTGGTGCATGGAAGCCGTGAACCCTTGTTTGGTAATGTCTGGGAAATCTGGTGCTGCCAATTTACCTTATGTGGGAACATGGAAAGCTGGAAACCATTGTTTTGCCATTCATTACATGATCATTGATAGAGGTTGGAATTTATCATTTGAACATGATTCAATGTTCAAAAAGATGGACGCGACACCTAGGTGGCCCCTTGGTCGTCTAGGTGGGCACCTCATGATCAAGGTGCCCCAAAGGAGGGAAGAGACCTGCCGGGGGAGGGTAGTGGCTGGTCTGGGATTGGTATACAAAACATGCACACATGCACAGACACACATAAAGGTGGGGGTAGAACATGTACATATAAATATATAATATAATATAACATATAATATAAAAAAGAGGTGGAAAGTTGGAGGAGAGAAAGTAGAGACCCATCATCTACACCTTGCTTTATCTCTCTCTATACATATTTAGTACAATACAATAGTACTATATAACACAATAAATCTAATACTACATACTAGTAATAGAATAGAACTATATATAGTATTATATATTGTAGCACTGTAGCACTATAATATATTGCTGATTTTATTATACTGCTATAATAAACAAATAATATTATAACACTACAGTACTACTACTACTACTACTACATAATAATAAATATATAATAAATACATAGAGTAATGTAATAGTACTGTATATAATATAAAATATTAATTTACTATAGTACAATAACTATACAATAAATATGATTACTCTACATAACATATAATTGATATAATAAACATATCTAAGGAGAATAAGACGAGGAGGTCAAGGTGCCCACCTTGGCCAAGGTGCTAGGCAGTGCCTTGGCCATCTAGGCAGGTGCCTAGAGGCACCTCCACCATTGAACACTGGCCATAGGTGGCCGCCTATCTCTAGAAAATGCGCCTATAGGACCCTGGTCCACCTATGCTCCAGGCGGCCGGCTTCTCAACACTAATATGATATTTTGGTTATAAACCACCATGTCATACTTCCAAAATAAACCATTAAGATTGACAGTTATTGTTCCAATAAATCTCTCTCCCTATCTTGTAATCTATTTGATGGTTTTCTTCAGAAGGGTATTCTATTCTTCAGAAAGCCGCCTACCTCTAAGGTTATTCTATGTTAGCGGAAGAGAGATGAAGAAAGAGAGAGAGAGGTACTCTACATGAAAGAGAGAGGGGCTCTTAGGGGAGTTGAGAGAGTGAGTAGGGTCCAAGGGGAAAGAGAGGGGAAGGCTCAACGAGAGAGAGAGAGTATGGTCAGGGGGAGAGAGGAGGAGGCTCTTAGAGAGAGAGAGGGGGAGAGAAAATGAGAGTAGGGTTAAGGGGAGAGAGGGGGAGGCTTAGAGAGAGAAAGAGAGAGATGGGCTCAAAATGGGTAAACCCTACAGGCTCAAAGTGGGTCACACTACATAACCTATAGTTTTTATGCTTTTAAAACACACTTTTTTTTTGGGGGGGGGGCAAGGGCATGTTGGGCTGTTCCAATTAGTCACATGGGGAAAATTGGTGGGGGGAGGCCTCGTTTGCCTTCCGCCATTTCCTTGGAAACTTGCAAGCTAACCCCCTGGGGTTTTCCACAAAACTAGAAAAGCGGGCAAAAGTAGACCCATACTTTCCATTATTCATTGTAGCTTTTCCCGTTAGCAAACAAGGGACAACTACAAAGCATTGATTTAAAATGCGGCCGTATCGCCACATATGCGGCTGCGTAGTGCGTAGTGCGTAGTGCATAGTGCGTAGTGCGTAGTGCGTAGTGCATTATGTGCTGACAACCGCATCACATGAGGCCGCATATGTGCTGTGGAGGGATGCGCAGCATCCCGCATAGCCCACATAGAGCGCAGATGCGGCCAGCAAGTGATGTGGAAAGAAGCCCCTCGAAAAGGGGTATTTCAACTTTTTAAGCCCCAAAAAAGGGGGGAAAAGGCTTTGGGGGACTGTGAGGGGGTGGACTTCACTCATCAAATCGACCAAAAAAGAACCTAGTGGAAATACATTTTTTTGAAATTCTTTGTTTTTTGTCTTGGTTGATCTTTGGTTGTTGATTTGCATCTTTTGCGTGGTGATTTGAGGAAGGTTTAGCAAAGTTTTTGACAACAAATCGAGGGTCACAAGGGCCTAGAAGAAATCGATATTTGCTTCAAGTAATCGGTAACGTTTTTTTCCTACTACAATAATACTTTTTTTTGTGGGGCAATGTCTTCTTCACAATCTTCTAGTAACAAGAATCCGGCTTGGAAATATGCAAAACTAAAAAATCCAAAAGACCGAAATTGTGTTATTTATATGTTTTATGGAAATACTTATCTAAGGGGTATTTTTTGGCAAAAAGAACACTTAGCCGGTATTTTTGGGAATGTAAAAGCATGCCTATAAGCTACCAAAGAGATAAATAAGGAGATTAGAGAATACATGGATAGCTTGAAAAAACAAAGAGAATGGTGGGAGAAGTCTGGGGTAACTAATATGTGTGATAGATGGTCCGATGGGAAGTCAAGGGAATTCATTAATTTTTTGGTTAACTGTTCAACAAGTACTTTTTTTTGTTAAGTCTGTTGATGCATCAGATAAGTCACACGATGGCTTATGTCACTTGATGGATGAGATTGTAAAATTTGTTGGAGAGAAACATGTAGTACAAATTGTCATTGACAATGGTGCCAATTACGCTGCAGCTAGGCATTTTTTGACTTTGAAGAGGACACATATATTTTGGACTATTGTGTTAATATCATGCTTAAGGAAATGCATACATCTATATTTCATGGGATGATTTTAAAAACTATGTTTTCTATTGGATTTATTTATAATTACACCATAGTCCTTAAGCATGATGAGGAATTTTACAAAGAAAAGAGATATACTGAGACCAGGAGTCACTAGATTTGCCACATCATTTCTCGCTCTTCAAAGCCTATACAAGCCAAAAAATGCCTTGAGGACCATGTTTGCTTCAAAGAAATGGAGTCAGAGTAAGTGGTCAGAGCACCAGGATCGGAGAAAGGTTGAACAAATCATAGTTGTTGGAAACGCCTGGGAACCCGAATCGTTTTAGGACTCAGAATCGCAACCAGCTAGAAGATTCCTGTCTTAGGAATCATTGTCTGTACAATAGGAATCGCTAGGAACGAGATTCCTAGTTTTTGAGAATCGTGTTTCGATCGAAATAGATCCAAATTTCATCCACATATGGAATCGAGATTCCATCCTCCTTGGAATCGAGACTCCCATCCCCATGGAATCGACACTACAAGAGTCAAGATTCATTAATATGCGGAATCGAGTTTCCGACATCTATGGAATCGAGTTTCTGAGATATATGGATCAGAGATATGTTGTTGTTTCGAATCGTGACATATTTGGAATCAAGTTT